TATGCGTGTGCTATGTCATTTTATGTACAATCTGGTTAAGTAGGTAAATGAAGAAAATGAGTCTTACAAAAGTCAGGAAGTCTGTTCAAGGTCATGCAGTTAAGTGCCTAGCAGATGATGCAAAAGACCATTCATTAGAAACAATCTAATAACAGGGTGAAGAGCTTCTCTCCAAAGTCTCCAATATATTTTGAGTTTTCATGAATTGTTCAGAGAGCATCTGTTTTTATGTAAGTAGAAACATACTCAGGGAAAATAAGACCTGTTATAAGAAATTAAAATCAAAGTCCAGAAACATATTCTTTTATACATGTGTACTAAAGGAAATATAATGTCACCTACACTTGATTATTTCCGAGAATACAAGAGAATGCAAAATGGCATATCTAAAACAACTTCTTTACCCATCCCTGCACTGTTTAAAAATACTGGTCTCTTCTCATAAATCCCCTAAGGAAGCCAAAAGTTGTTTTGTTTCTCATTATGAAATGTCTGCATCCAACAGCCGAAGAAGGTCTCTGCATACAATGCTGTTTTGGGTAGGTTTAGAGTATTTGAGAACAAGGTCACATGGTCTTGTTTTAATTTTTTTTTAAATTTTAGAGGGGGGCCGGGGAGAGAGAGAGGGAGAGAGCGTGTGTGAGCAGGGGAGGGTCAGAGAGAGAGGGAGATAACAGAATCTGAAACAGGCTCCAGGCTCTGAGCTCGCTGTTAGTACAGAGCCTCAAGCAGGGCTCAAACCCACAGATCGTGAGATCATGACCTGAGCTGAAGTCGGACGCTTAACCAACTGAGCCACCCAGGTGCCCCACATGGGATCTTAATCAGTGCAACAAGAAGAGCTTTGTGTTATTGGAAAATGGTAACAAATTTAAAATCTTGAGAAATTCAGGGGTAAATAGTTTGAGAAACTCTTTTGTGTTCCTGAAAACATTCTTGGCCTTTAATGTTCTAATATATATTTTGAATTGAAAATAAAAGCATTTCTCAAATATTTATCCTTAGAGAATTATACTTTGTCCTTCACGGGTGTTCCATACAGTATAATTTGGATACTGTTTCTTTATAATACATCATAATCAATCCACTGATTTAAGATTCTTATAAAACCAAATCTAGCCTATTTTTGCATGTTTCTAATGATATCTCACATGTTGAGACAATCTATTTATTTTAGGACCATTCATTCCACTCAGTTGCCTCCCTGTGGTTTCCTTAGTATGGCCTGGTTCTTACCTCTATGCAGATGCAAAACAGATCTTCAACTTGAAATCCTTTTGTAAATGTGAAGACTTCTACACTAATGCCTTGCACTGAATCTCCATCACTATGAACTAAACATCCTAAATTCTTCATAGTTTCTGATGCTATCCCTTTCCAAACTAACCTCCTCATTATATATGCTTGTTTGGGAGATCAAAGTAGTGTAGAACACAGTCCTCAGAATATGATCTTGTCAACACTGGATAAAAATTGACCCAGGTCCAAGTCCTGACTCAGTCACTCACCTTCTGAGACCTTAACAAGTTAGCTAACTTTCTCTAAACCTCACTCCTCATTAATAAAACAGAAATGACAATAATTCTTGCCATCATGAGGAGGTTTCTGTGAACATTAAATTTAAAATATTGAATGTGCCACATAATAAGTATTCAATAAGTATTAGCTACTATCATGTCCATTTTGAAATATATTTTCCTTTAGCCAATTTAAAAAAGTAGAATTTCCCGAGTACTCAACAGTGACAGATCAGCTCAGGGTTGTAATCAGCAGGTAACAGAACAGTGAGGAAAGAAACTGGCAGAGGATTAAAAATAAACCACAAATTATCGGCAAGTAGATAAAGCCCTGACTACATAATCGTTACCAAACAGACTCTATCTTTGTCTTCCCATGTAGTAACATGTCACTTTCTTTTAATGGTTTCATTGAAACATACTCTGCAAAACCTTTCAATTTGAACATGAAATAGGGTGGATAGAAATAAACATCTTTTAGCAACATAGACTTCAACATTTTCCTGCCCTGCTTGAAAGAATGGCATTCAGAGGCAGGACAAAATTCAGTGTCAAGTAATTTTCTACTCATGATCTGATGCCACTCAACTTTGAGCTTGCTTTTGGCTACACCAGTGGAGTTTACGATCTTTTAATTCAGCTCATGAGTTACAGTTCCCTGTAGCACCTTTTAAGCACTGGCAGAGTTCTACAACAATGATGAATGTGTCTCCATTTAGCCCAAACCTCTAGCATCTCTCATAGGTGCAAGAATTGTTGGCACTGAAGAGCTGAATTGAACGTGGCATATATTTCCAATATACATTCTGATCCTTCTATAATTGGTGGAGTTGTGAACTCTTGGCAGGAGTGTAAAAAGTTAAGAGACTCAAATTATCTCTCATTCAATTTCTTTGATATTTTAGGAATGTTCTTGATTTCTAGCAATCAATTAAAAAAGTGAATAGAGGAAATAGACTAGTTTCAATCATGTAGTTGTTCTCAAAGGATTATTGAGTATTACATAGTTAAATTAGCCTGAATTTCCCACTATATTAGGATCATATAATCGCTCTCTCCTTCACTCTGTTTAATATGATCAAATATTAAGTTCTTTCAATTGAGTGCTTTTTAAGAAAAGAAAAAAAAGACAGAGATGAGAGAGAAAGAGAAAGTAATAAAGAAAGAGGAAAAGAGGAAAAAGCACCCAGTAGGTTCTGAAGGTTGATTCCCCAGAAATATTCTTCTGAGACTGCTCTATTATCTCAGAACACAAAGCCATATCCTCAGCCACACAGGACTGTGGTGGACACCTAGTAAAGGGTAGCTGATCATAGGAGAGTAGTCTACCACGTGGCCCATAGCAAGGGTGCAGCTCCCAAAACTGCGAGGAATCCAGTGAGGATCCAGTCTTTTCATGAAAAAAAAAGTAGGTAGGGGTGTCTGGGTGGCTCAGTCAGTTAAGCATCCTACTTTGGCTCAAGTCATGATCTTGTGGTTTCTGAGCTGGAGCCCTGCATCAGGCCCTGTTCTGACAGCTCAGAGCCTGGACCCTACTTTAGATTCTATGTCTCCTTCCCTCTCTGCCCCTCCCCTGCTTGTGCCCTCTCTCTCCTCTCTCCCTCCCTCTCTCTCTCAAAACCAAATAAACTTTAAAAATTTTTAAAAAGCAGGTAATTCACTGGGTAAAAGAAAGGGTGGGAAAGCACAGAGCACAAAGATAAGCAGGACAGGATGAATGGGTAAGTCTTATTCACTGTACAACAGTGGAATTGAGATCCTAAGCTATTAATGCTCTTAATGAGGTAAATGTCAAAAAATCTCATATAACCTAGTCCTGAACTTCCTTGTGCTAATTGAGGTCCCGGTATACTACAGTTGTGTAGCTTTCCCAAAACTCCCATCCAAACCTTCCATGTGGAAGGTATTTCTCTGTTCTTTATTTCTGTATTTCACCTTCCAATAAATCCCCCTTACTTAACAGAAATTAAATAAGTCTCCACTGCTTGCAACCAAAGGAGAACAAAGCATGTCTGAAAGTAAGAAAGCCATTACTTGATGAGTTTTCAACCACGTTTAAAGTTACATTCTTTCTTCCTCCTCTCAATCTTTTCATATACAGCACTTAGTTTTGTATATCTAATTACCCTAATTATCATTCCATTCAAAAACAATTATGTGCTAAGGAGCTAACACCATCAAGTATAGGGCTGTAGAACTGCAAGGTGCTCAGTAAATCTTATTAGTTAATGATTAAACAAAGCCCAAAGGACAAAAAATTATTAAATCAATATTTCTTAATTATAAAGCATAAATCTACTAGAAACCCAGATCTCTACTTATTTCCCAGAAAGTACATGAAAAGGTGTCAGATAAAAAAACCAAAAGCAGAATTCATTCATACATTTACTAATCATGTTAATATTAGGGACTGTATGACACATTGAAAAGTCCCATCCACTGGGAACACAAAGGAAAAGCACACTCAATTATCTCACACTTTAATAGGAGATATGGACAAGAAAATATAACACATGGTTGACACATTGTATTTATTTTCCATTTTGTCTCATAAGAGCCTGAGGGATCTAATTAGATAGGAAACAGTGAGCTCCTTAAAAAATCAAAAACAAAACGATGTATGCATTCGTGAACACTCCATAAAGACAGTGTGAATTGTTGGGGTGCCTGGATGGTTCAGTCAGAGTCCTAGTTCAAGCCCCACATTGGGCTCCATGCTGGGTGTGAAGCCTGCTTTAAAAAATTAATTACAAAAATAAAAATTAAAGAAAAATCAAGCAACAGGGCATTTATTTATTTTTTAATATTCATTTATTTTTGAGAGACAGAGAAAGAGCATGAGCAGGGGAGAGGCAGAAAGAGAGATATATACACAGAATCCGGAGCAGGCTCTAGGCTAAGAGATGTCAGCACAGAGCCTGACGGCAGCACTCAAACCCACAAACCATGAGATCATGAGATCATGATCTGAGCCAAAGTGGGATGTTTAACATACTGAGCCACCCAGGTGCCCTGCATGACATTTACTTAAAAACAAAACAAAAACAAAACAAAATGCCAGTGAATTGCTTAATACTCAGACATTTCAATGGCTATATTCACAACTCCATAGTCAATAAGATAACAGGTCTTAGTAAGTCAGAGTAAGATAACACTACAGGAAGGGCTTCTGATACAACACAGCAACAATCAATGCCAAATATACCCATCAGGAAAGAAATCCTAAAAATGATGGGAGTTTTGGGGCACCTGGGTGGCTCAGTCAAGTAAGCGTCCGACTTCAGCTCAGGTCATGATCTCACCGTTCATGGGTTCAAGCCGCATGTCGGGCTCTGTGAGGACAGCTAGCTCAGAGCCTGGAGCCTGCTTCGGATTCTTTGTCTCCCTCTCTCTCTGACCCTCCCTTGCTTATGCTGCTTCTCTCGCTCTCTCTCTCAGAAATAAACAAAACATTAAAAAATTTTTGAAAAATAAAAGTTAAAATAATGGGAGTTTTAAAATTAACACACGAGCGTGCACACACACATATCAAAAAAACCCAGGGACCTAGAAGTGTCAATAGAAATCTATGCAATGGCTTTGAAAAATGGGTGACTTCAAAGAGAAAAGAATCCTGTATTTACCAAGCCACTGTTACCTAAAAATGCCCCCATTTTAACAACATTCCAAGATGATTTTAATGGCATGGTTAATGGAGTTGAGAAAATTCATGTGAGTGCAAGTTGATACTGACATTTTTCTCACTACTATACTCACTGTTCATACTTTTTGGGCAATCCTCTCTCCTCTCCCTTACTACCTCACCTCTCCAAAATCTGTCATTGGGCTGGACATTTAGCCTAACTTCTCCAGCACATTCTTAGAATATGTTGCCAAACTACTGTAAGTGATTTCCCTCTAATTTTCATTCTATGTGCAAGGTTTGCCTCAGGGAGATTCCTCATGCTTTGCATGCTTTATAGTCTAGAGTTTTGTCTTCTGGCTTCTTTGTCTTCATGGAATTGTTAGAAAATTTCCCGGGTTCTTGGCTTTGACTAGCCCACAACTTTAACTATTTTTAACTGTTTATATATTTAAAAACTCTCCAGGGCCTAATCAAGATGAATTTATCTGACCATGTACCTTCTTCAGCACTCTTAATTGCTATACATTTTCAGTTTTACTTGGGAGACTGAGTCAGGATGGTGTCAAGTTGCCTGGTGATCCCAGATGTAGTTTCGATGTGTTAAGTGGTGCAGGACAAGAATTGTAAATCTGAAACTCGAACGCTCATCTCTTAGCCCCAACACACAAAGTAAATTTCTAAGGAAACCTCCAGCAATAAATCATCATATGTCAACGACTAATCACAGTCATTGTAGTGCTAGAAAACTACAGCATCTCAGTAAGTCTTTTCAAAAACAGGTTGTGGATGGTGTGAGGGGACAGAGTACTGATGGATTCAGGACAAGCAGATGTGTCTGAAGGACCTTCTAAGAGCAGTGGCACATTAGCTGGATCAACCAAATCAATCAAATAAAAGGGATGCTTTAGGGGCTCCTGGGATGCTTTAGGGGCTCCTGGGTAGCTCAGTTGGTTAAGCGTCCAATTTTGGCCCAGGTCATGATCTTACGGTTCCTAAGTTTGAGCCCCGCCTCAGGCTCCATGCTGATAGCTGAGTGCCTTCAGCCTGCTTCAGAGTCTATGTCTTCCTCTCTCTGTCCCTGCCCCCCTTCAAATTAAATAAACACTAAAAATTTTTTAAAAAGGACTTTTTAGACAAAGCACCATTTAAAACTGCCTGGATATTGTTCAGCAAGGACCTCTCTACATGCGAAGATTAGTAAATCTATGTGATTCTGAATGGTCACTTGCAATTATATAAAAGGGGAAACACTCATGGAAGCAGGTGTAGCTATGTCACAATAATCAACCATGACTTTGTATGAGAATGCCTAATATAAGCTGCTCTGCATGGGTATGTGATCATTTGTAAAGCTTTGTGAAAATCACTAATGTGAACAGATTATGGAATGAACTTCTGCTAATCACTGAGGGAATACTAAATCAATTCAGAAGTTATGAAGACATTGTTTGGAGAATGTAAATTGTGATCATTTCATTGGAGGGCAATCTGGAAATAACTATAAATGTCAAAAATGCAAAATGTACTACTTTTGGACTGAGAAATTCCAATTCCTCTTTCAAGAATTTATTTTACAGATATATTCACATATGTCTACAAAACTAATGTTTATAGTAACAAAAGCCTGTAAAGAACATAAATGATGAGGGGCAGGATTCTAGTATTGTAATGTGGGTACAAGGGAATAAATATTCCAAGTATTCATTGGCAAGCAAGATACCTAGGATTCACCTTTAAGTGAAGAGAAGTATTCAATACATCATTTTTATATTATATATACATATCATATACATATGAATATAAATCTTCAGGTTTCCCTTTTAAAGAAGTAACATACATGTGCTCATAAAAACATCCCTGGAAAGATAAACAAATAACAATTACAGTGACTCTAGAGAAGGGGCTAGCAGAAGATGATAGAAAGTAAGTTTAGTTTTGACCAGATACCCTTTCATACTATTAAAATGCACACTCACAGACACATAACCTTTACGGAAAAATAATTAAAAAATACAAAGGGTTATAAAGGTAAACTGAAATGGAAAGTTCAGACATTATCCAGGGAAATTAAACAACATTAATAGCCAGTCCAAATCGATCAAGGTCCCAGACCCTACTTTTTCATCAGTACCAGAATTTTTTTAAATCATATGGATAATTGCCTTAACTCTTCATTTCAACAGTGTAGTCAATATAGTTAAATTCTTCAAACTATGAAATGGAATCTCTGCCAAGTTACAGGTTTGACATTTGCATTAGTTCTTCAGTGAGAGGCTTCTTATACTGTACAAGTTCTACAGTAACCTATTTTACAGTTCTACAGGACTGAAGGACAAAGAAATCCAGCCATATAACTTCTTTGAGTTGAATTAAAATGATATATTCACCATGCTCAATGCTGTAATGACTTCCTAGCCTTTGGTAATGACTTGAGAATTAAAAAAAGAAGAAGAAAAAGAAGAGAAAGAAAGATAGACAGACAGTGGAGGGAAGAGAAGAGGGGAGGAGAGGAAAAAAACATAACACAACACATGGGACAGTCATATCATTAAAATTCACAAAGTTGGTAAGCCTAGAGTTTGAAGTGACTCGAGATACTGAGAAAGCCTCTCAGAGTATGAGGAGTCTTCCAAACCAACAATATGACATTCTAAGATTTAAGATCTAGACAAGCATCCACAAGCTAGCCTTAGATGGTAATCTATGTTCATGACAGTCATACTCGTACTAAAACAAAAACAAAAACAAAAAACAAAAACTATTTACTACCCAGATGCTTCATGTATAAAGAGTATGAAAGCTAAACATACTTAAAAACTGGTCAAGTGTGAAATTCAGGTTTTGTCTATAATACTCTTCATCTTGAATCCACCTGAATTAACTTCATTTTACCAGTGTTACATTTTCCTGTATCATTCCATTCACGACTTCCACTTCCAACGTCCTCCTTCATTGAGTTTAGTCTAAGGTTTTCTTGACCAACCAAACTTGATCATTTACATATAAAAACAAATCAAGTTATGAATGAACCTCTTCCTTGCCTACTATCTGGAACTTTGTTCTCTATTTGTAGGACTAGCATCTTTTCAATTTTCAGTTTCAAAATTAACATTCACTAAGAAACTGTTTTTCACCACTCAATCTAAGGTAGATCCTTCCTACAGTATTCTCCATCATAGCACCCTCACCTCATCGAGAACGTCTATTTCAGTTTTTAATTGTTTTTAAGTTTTAATTAACTTTTTTTATAGTCTCCTCTACTAGAGTCTAAGCTCCATGAAGTCAGGGTCCATTTCTGGCAGTTTTCTTGTCTACCTTCAGGACCTAATATTGCCCTTGCACTTAGAAGTACTCATTATGATAGGTTCCATGGATGAAGAAAGTAAATTCTAGAAGAATAGTTCACTCACATTTTTCTAAATTATCCCACTCTGACAAGAAGACCAACGTTGCATCTGAAAACCTGTAATGGCAAAAATTTGCAAGGAGCAACAAATTCTATTTTGAACTTTCTGTGATCCCATTCAGTCTATATGGCATTTATGAAATGGCCCAATACATGGGAAAATATTGCCAACGTAGGAGATGGAAGAATTTGGTGCCACCTATTGCGCTTCATTCTGCAAAAATATGATGGCAACTCCAAGGAAAAGGACATCCAGGTAAAATCCTTTGAAAAACAATAGGAGAACCTTCTTGAAACAGAGAATAAGGAATCACCTTGTGGTAGTCAGGGTTTTCCAGAAAAACAGACTAATAGTGTGTGTGTGGCGGGGGGGGGGGGTTATTTTAAGAAAATGGCTCAGCAGTCTGCTGCAAGAACTCTCCCTCTTCCTTGGTGGAGGTCAGTGTTACTTAGGGCCTTCAACTGAAAACATGAAATCTATCTACATTATGGATCTGCTTTATTCAAAGTCTCCTAATTCAAATGTTACTATCACCTAAAAAAAAACCTCAGCATCACCCAGATATGTTTGACCAAATATATGGACTGTGGTCAATCTAAGCAAGTTGACACAGAAGATTAGCCATTATACTTTCTTAAAAAGACTGTATTGTCATTTACATTTACTCAATTTATTTTCTCTGGCAAAACAAAAGACATACAACTGAAAACTTTTTATAAATGTCATCACAAGATATGAAGGCATGTATTTTTAAAATGAAACATCATTTTCTGAGTGACTAATAAGCATGCAATTTAACCCATACATAAATCCACAGAGTTTTATTGCCAGTAGTCAAATCATTTTTCCCTTTGTTTAAATTTGTGGCCAGAATAACAAAATCTGTCAAACTCAGTATTTTATAGAGGCTTAGCAATACGTAAAAGCCTATCTGTATAAAAAATATGTTTTTTTGTTTTTTTAACTTTTTTTTAAATTTTTTTTTAATTTATTTCTAGGAGAGAGAGAGAGAGACAGCGTGAGCAGGGGAGGGTCAGAGAGAGAGGGAGTCACAGACTGAAACAGGCTCCAGGCTCCAAGCTGGCAGTCAGCACAGAGCCCGGCGCGGGGCTCGAACTCACGAACCGCGAGGTCATGACCCAAGCGAAAGTCGGATGCTTAACCGACTAAGCCACCCAGGCGCCTCTAAAAAATATGTTTATACAATGAACTCTGAGTATTCAAACAACTTCAGAATAATTAATATGACATATCATTTACCTACAAAAATTACCAATTTACTATCCTACAAAAATTCTATTTACTGGTGTGCCTGGGTGGCTCAGTTGGTTAAGCGTCTGACTTCAGCTCAGGTCACAATCTCACAGTCAGTGAGGTACAGCCCCATGTCGGGCTCTGTGCTGACAGCTCAGAGCTTGGAGCCTACTTCAGATTCTGTGTCTCCCTCTCTCTCTGCCCTTCTCCGGGTTACACTCTGTCGCTCTCTCAGTCTCTGTCTCAAAAATAAACATTAAAAAAAGTTCTGTTTACCTGCATATGCCAATGTCTGTTTGAAAACCTTCCTACTTTCATAAGGTTCTCAACATTTGAAATACCTTCTTAAAGCCCTATAATTTATGAAAACTTACTATCCCTCCAATAATATATAGTTCTGAAAGTGTGTCATACTGATGTCTTTTAGCCATACACTGATCATTAAACATAAACATTTCTTCCTCAGAGACTATTAAAAACTGGTCTAAAACTTTAGGTCATAGACAGGCATATTGGAGATCTGACATCAGTACTGACATTTGCTAGTTGCATGACTTGAATCAAGTTATTTAATCTGTTAGTTTTCTCATCTAGGACCCAGAGGTCATCACAATACCTCACTCACAGGATGATCCTAAGTTTAAATGATAATAAAAGAATTTAGCAACCTGCCTGGTACATTGCTAAGTATTCGATTAATGTTACTTATTATGATTAAAATTTACTTAGACAACCCACATACATATATATATATTTTTAAAAGTGTCTCCAATGACTGGGGGTACTTCTTCCTAAAAAGAAGTGTCTGTTACAATCAGGAAAAAAAGACATTTGAAAACCCACCTGGAAAATGAGGCATAATATATATAAATTGAGTAACACCACCCAACAGATGTGAAACATTAAAAAAAAATACTGGGTGATATGAAATGCACATTCGGACAAAATTCCCTAAAGCATATTCCAAAGAATAGTTTATTCTGTCTTTGGACTTAAATCTTTCTGCATTTAATGAAAATCATCTGAGAAGCTTTTAAAAAATTCCATTACCCAGAACCCATCTTTATTCTAGACCAGATAATTTTAATGAGCTGCCAGTGCTGATAGCCACAACCATTAGATGGTTAGGAGGCAGGGATTGTTGCCAGAGACTGAAAGTTTGCCAAAATTCTTTCTTTAAGACCTTATCCCCCATGTAATAGAAAATGAAAGTTGCGCGCCTCTAGGAGGTGTTTGGCCATGAAGGCAGAGCTCTCATGAATAGGATTAGTGCCTTTATTT